GCCAGACCACACGAGCCAGGGGGTCCTCACAACCGAGAGCCCAGCGACGCGACCCAGCACAACGGCAGAAACCCCAGGGGCCACGGCAGCTCTGACCAGCTCTCCTGCCACCTCGGGGCATCTTCCCATCTCAGCTGCCACCACCCCACTGCACACAGACAGGGACAGCCCGAAGGTGAGGGTGCAGCTGTGCACCGTGGGTGGTGGGAGCGTGAGGAGGCTGGATCTCTTCACTCATGCCACCATTGTGTTTTTTTCCCTTCCAGCCCATCACGTGCCACAATGTCAAAGAAGTGAGCGACACTGGGGCCATCTGCTTGCAGCTCAACGAGTCCAACACTTGTGTGAGTTGCAGTCCCAGGGTGGCCACTCATCTCTGAGGGGAGGGACCTGCAGGAGGAGGGGGATGCAAGCCACCAAGGGATGATCACAGCAGTCCCAGGTGGATCTCAAAGGGATGATCACAGCAGTCCCAGGTGGATCCCAAAGGGATGATCACAGCAGTCCCAGGTGGATCTCAAAGGGATGATCACAGCAGTCCCAGGTGGATCCCAAAGGGATGATCACAGCAGTCCCAGGTGGATCTCAAAGGGATGATCACAGCAGTCCCAGGTGGATCCCAAAGGGATGATCACAGCAGTCCCAGGTGGATCTCAAAGGGATGATCACAGCAGTCCCAGGTGGATCCCAAAGGGATGATCACAGCAGTCCCAGGGGAAATGCAACCTCCTGGTTGCACAAAGCCTCTTTTTTCATGATTAAGCTCTGGGGTCAGTTTAGCTTCTAAAATATCTCCCACCACAGTTAACAGGAAATTGCCTTTGTTCTTCTTCTTCCTCTTCCCTGTTGGGAATGCGAGTGGCTTTTTTTTTTGTCTTGCCAACTGCCCTAGGAAAGAAATCAGGGCTTCTGAAGGAGCAGGAGTGGCTGAGCAGTGTCCATCTGCACCAGCTCCTGAGGGCTCTGTAACTGCCCGTGGCCTTGTGCACCAAAAATGAAGAACTGCTAAAAGCAGAAGAGGGTCTGTCTGAGGCACAGTTGTGGGTGGGAGGTGAGAAACCTTTCACCCTGGAGGTACAACCCGCACCAGAGACAGTCAGTGCTGGATGTTGTGGGACAGCAGACTCGGTGATACCCTGGGTATAAAATGATAATGATGATTTTTACTTCTGCTGCTCAGCCGTACTGCCAACACTGAGGATGAGTGAGTTCTTCCTTGGCTTTTCTCTGCAAATTGGTGATTAAATGGCATTTAGACTTGCTCCTGTTTATTGGGATTGTGCTTTAGCAGGAATTTACATGGAAAACACCTCCGGGATGGAGTGATTCTGATCCCAGATGCCATCTGCTGGGCAACGGCACCTCTGGGCACAGGGCTCAGATAACTGTGCCTGCATTACTTATATAAATACATATATCACATAGAGAATATCCTATAGAGTCGTGTCTAATTGCAGGTACTCTTAACCCTCCCTCTCTGTGGAAACCAGTCAAACTGCTCCCTTTCCAACTGTGTTTTTCTGGGAGCTCTCAGCCCACAGCAGACCTCCTCCCATGCTTCCACCTCAACAATCCTGGAGTGGGAAAAACCAGCTGAGGCTCAGCAGCTGCGGAACCTGGGAAGCAGATAAGAGCGTCTGCGAGGAGAGCAGATAGGAGGGACCGAGCCGTGTCTCACTTTCCTGCTGGCCTTTCCCAAAGCAAATGAGCAATAAACTGGCACCCAGCGCTGCTAATTGCAAAGGGAAATTCTGACACTCCGATGAGTTCTTTCCACAGCAGAGAAAGGAAAATACACACTTGGGTCTCTTGTTCCATCTTGGCCTTTCTCACCCCAAGCCAAGCTCTATAGAAACAGCTGAAAACGATTTGTTTGTTATTCTCCCGTGGATAAGTTTCTGCGTTTTTGTACGCTCAGAGGATGTGGCAATCTGAGCACAATACTGAGGCAATTCTAAGGCAAAGAGAGGAAGGCATTGAGCTGTGAGACAAGAGGGTTTTCTCCTCTTCCACAGCCCCACGTCAGTGGGTACATCCCAGGGAACAAATAGAGGGTAGGGGCAGGACAGGGGGTTCAGGCGGAGCTGGTCTCTGTCTTGAGGAGGTGGGCACAACCCAGCTCAGATGATGTCCCCAGCTGGGAGGATGTTAGGGAAGCTGATAATGTCTTTTAGCAACTGTGGGCTCTGTCTCCAAGCCTGGCTGTGGCTGAAAATAGACCCGAGGAGAAAGCCTGTCCTGTCTGATACAGGAATTGGCCCGCAGAAGGGAAAGGCTGCTGCTCCTCACTCCTCTTCCTCTTCCACCCCAGAGTCAATTCGGCTCTAAAATGTGAGAAATTTGTACTTTTTTGCCTAGCCTTTGATCAGCAACCTAGCAAAAACATTGAAGACATTTCCTAAACAGGAAGGCTCAATGCTTCTTTGTTATTTCCCTCCTTTCCCAGCCCCTGCCTGGGACTCTGAGACAATAGGGCTCTTCAGGCAGCTGTTTCAGTCTTAAAATTGGAGGGACTTGCCATGCAACTAAGATCCTAAATTTAGCTTTGTTTAAATGCCATTTGCAAGAGTTACTAAAAATATCTTCATTTAATTTAATCTCATTAAGTTAAGAAACAAGAAATTAGCATCCCCTTTTTCTAGGTGTTGGTACTGGGGCCCCAAGCAGTGGTGAAGTGGAGGGTGAAGGGCTGGTGCTGGTGGTCACTTGTTGCTTCTGCTGAGCTTTGCACAGCACAGATAAACCATCAAAACACAAAGGGTGAACACATAACCTTACCAGTAGAAGGTACATCATCAGCACAGCTGAGATGGAGAATTAGTCGGTTTGTTTGGTTCAATGGCTGTTTGTTTGGAAATTTTGCAGAAGCATTTTTTAGAGCTGAAGGGATCGGAGTTGTGGAGTGCAATATGTGAAGAAAGCGCCCACCGCGTTCCCTCCCCCTGCCAGATCAAACTGGCTAAATCCGAGGTGGACCGTGACTGTCTGCTCCTCATCCTCGTTGGTGAGAGAGGTCAGTTGAGATAATTCCTTTGCCTGTTGTTGGTATCGCTGGTTAATGACCTCGAGGTGGGCGATGGGAGAGGGGAACATCTGTGGGGAGAGGCTGGAGGTCCCTGTGGGACACAAAGCCTCGGTTATAGCCTGGGATGAGACCTCTCTGCAACTACTGCTCGTCCTTCTGGGGTCTTAGATCCATGGAGCCATGGTGTTGCCTCCAGCGCAGTGAAGGGGCTGATGGCTCCTCTGTGCTCAGCAGTGGCCAGGATCTTCAGTGCTGGCATTAGCTGCAGCATGATCCGCTATGTAATGTGCCTGTCCTGTTCTGAACCTTGCAGATCCTGTGACAGATGTGCTCCCGGAGCCTCACTGGGAAAAGGTAAATTCCTTGAGCAAATTCAGTTGGAAAAAATGAGTGACCTGAGTCCAGGAAAAAAAAAAGTGACCTGGAGAAAGGACATTTTTAAATGGTCAGTTGAGGATGAGACCTGAACCTGCCTCTGTCTCACAGGCGTTTGTTGAGCATTGGCACGTGAGATGGTTGGAGCCAACCAGCAGATGTGCAGCGAGGCAGCGTGCACCCCAAGAGCACTAAAACAGCCACTGCAGGCAGAAATGCTTGAAATAGCTCCTGTAAAATTTGTTAGGATTTTAATTTGATAGCCTTTAAAAAGGACTAGATCCCAACAATAACTCTTAGGATGTAACTGGCACTCTGCTTCTTCAAAGTACCACGCTGACAGTAATTAATTCCTCCTCTCAACACACCAGTGAGGCTGCCATGGGCTTGTAAAGCTGAGTTCCAGGTGCCTGTGTCCACGGCAGCCAGCAGAGAGGTTTCAGCCGTGCAGATGCACACTCCAAACCTCAGGGCTTGAGTGCTCCTGTCCAAGGGAGAAAATCTCCCTGTGCCACAGGAGGATGGAAATGAGACCATGGGGATGTGAGAGCTCACAGGGCCAGTGCAGAGCTCAGGAGCTTGGGTAGCAAAGCCCAGCTTTGTTGACACGCAGGAGGTGAAGAGCAGCATTGTTTAAGCCTGTTCAGCAGATGCACATGTTTCCTGTTTTCAGACTCCCAGCTCTCTTTGGTGTGCTTTCTTTTGTTGGTTTTTTTTTTTTGTTGTTGTTTTGTGTTTTGTTTTTTTTCTCTTCAGTTTGGAATAAAATCCCTTAAACGGGGGAGTGTGAGGAACCACCAGGACTTTTCTCAGAAGACCCTGATTGCCTTGGTCACATCTGGCCTCATGCTGGCGTTCCTGGGCTTGGCTGGATATTTCCTGATGAAGCGGAGGAGCTGGAGCCCCGCGGGGGAGAGGCTGGTTAGTGCTTATCGATGGCAGAGGAGCAGGTAGAGAGAGGGGTGGGAGAGGAGGGGGCTGCTCCTCAGCCTGTCTGTGTGTCCCCAGGACACTCGGCCAGCCCATGGGGTGTTGTGACCCTGGGCAAGGCGAAGGGCTGGAGCAGGGATCCAGACTGTGTGGGGTGAAGGGAAAACTCTCTCACCTTCTAAAATTAACTCTTAGCTGTTGCTCCTGTGGGAAAACCACCCCTTTCTCACTTGTACTTCTAGGTCTAACACTTATTTTTGCTCAGCAGCAAGAACTCATCCAGCAAGACCCTTCCAGAGACACTGAAACCTTATGAATTTGTCATTAAAAGTGACACACTTTAACTTCCCACTCGCTGCAGTTGAGTTCTGTGATTGTCTTGTACCGATGCTGTAATAAAGGCTCCTTCTCCCCTCACTTAACAAGTGATGGTAATAAAATATATCAAGAAAGAAAAAGAAAGAAATTTCCTATGTCCATTTTCCCCTTTCCAGGCAGGCTGACCTCTGAGGACTCTTCCCTACCAAGGACTTTCGGGGACGTGAGCCCTCTGTAAAGTAAGGACAGGCCACGCTTTCCCCCCGTCGCTGCTCGTGGGCAGGTGAACAGTTGTGTCCTGGGAAGCTGTTAGGTTATTTCATGGCCAGGAAGGATGTTCTCAAAACATGCAGGTGGGAAGTCAAGTGCATGTGTCAGAGGCAGGGACATGACAGCTTGGGCTGTTGAGCCTGCTGCCTCTGGGCACCATCCCCTGGATGATGGCACCAAGTGAAAGCCAATGTGTAGCTGGGAGCTGCCCATGTAAACACGTGGCAGTGTCAATCCAGTTTCTAGGCTGGACGTGTCCAGCACACCCATCTCACTGCCATGGACAAGGGTGTCAGCAGAGGGATTGAGTGAAACAATGGGGCAGGAGGGATGCTCAGCAGCTTGTTGTGGGTGCTGGATGCCACTGGGCAAACTGGTGACCAGCTGACAATCACCACCCACAGCCCAGGACCACCAGCACTCATTGCATTGCCATCAGACCTGCCACGGTCCGGCACGTGGGGAGTTATCGTGGTGGGGGACAGAGGCAGCTCTGCCACTGCTGTGTGTACTCCAGAGGTATCTGCTCCTCAGAGCAACAGCCCCACAACACGTCTTTGCTTTTATGGCCCCACACAGCTCTCCAGGCTGGTGTTGCTGGAGCACAGTCCTGCACTTCTGGTGGCACCTTGCTGCCAGCTTTGCATCGATCTAGAAGCTGAAAGAAAGGAGGATGGGGAAAGAAAAAAAAAAAAAGGCAATTTCCATGGAAAGAAAAAGAGGCAATTTCCATGGCTTTCATTCAATGGTGATTCTTACTTGGCCAAAGTAGAAAGCAGAGGTGATCTGTCATGGTGTAGCTTTGCAAACCCAGGGCAGGGGCAGCTCCAAAACCTAGTTATGTAAACCCAACAGAACTGATGGCTTCTCTTTTCAGGTCCAGGAGAAGAAAAAAATGCAATTCCTGGCTGATTTTCTTCTTTGTCCTGCCGTGGCATGGTTCAAGCCCTCTGTTCCCCTCCTCGGCAGCAGGAACAGGTTCCCATGCCTGCAGTTGTTTGTCCCTCCTGGCCAGGAAGCACAGGCAACCAGCCAAGCTGCTGCCTGCAATCCAAGCCGGTTGCTGTCAGCCTTTTCCCTTCCCTAACGCTGCCTTTGTTATTTATGTACCTGTTTAGGCTGAAGACCCATATTACACAGAAAACGGTAGCCAAAGAAACACCATGTTGATGATGTCCCCTCAAGAGCAACCTGAGCTGCAGGAGAAGCCAAATCTCAACGGTGGGACTCAGGAGAATGGGACTGGCCAAGCGTCCTCCAAAAACGGGCACTCAGCCAGGCAGCACGGCCCCGCCGACACCGAGATGTGAACCCATGGAAGAGTGTCCTTACCGCGATCTAGGAGGGGAGCGGAGAGACAAGGGAGGGCAAGAGTTTTCTACGGACAGTTAGGGAATTGCAGACCATATTTTTTTTTTTAATTATTGTTATTTCTGTGAAGAACTTCAAGATCAGCCTAAAGCACACTGAGCTCCAGAGCTGCCACAGACCTGCTTCGCTGCCTCCTCCTGCTTCTCCCGTTGACCACACAAGACACTTTTTCGCAGCTGTTCTCTGCTTTGGTTGTTAGAAGAACGTAACGAGAAATGCAAGTGCCCTTAGACCTGAACAGCTTTTCAGCAGAGGCAGACTGAAGCTACAGGAGCCTTGAGCCAGAATACAAACAGGCAAAATTTTTGGTAGCAGTGTGTTTGGCTGATTCAAATTGGGATTTCAATGACAAAAACCTCTCAGGTTTCAAATAATTTTGCTTAACAGAGTTGTTTTTTATCTCATCTTTATGTTTAAGCGCAGGATTTCTTCCTCTTTTAAGAACATCAGGCATTTAATCCCCCTTCTTGTGCTTTATGTCTTCTTTGGTATTTCCCACTCCAGCAGAATTTGCTGAAGCTCTGTGTAAAACTTTCCACGTGGAATTGAAGGCTGAAATGTGAACAGACCTCAAACTTGTTTCTTTTTATCAATCCTACCAGTACACAGGTAGTTGTTTTAGAGTAAAAATCTTCCCCCAGTCTCTTCATGTCAGGGGCTGGAGTTGGCATTTGATGAGGCAGAACCAACAATTAATCATTGAAGTGAGAACATTTGATACGGCCGTGGATGGCTCTGCGCACGCCGGGGGCTGGCAGGGCCATCACCCTCCCTCCTGACATGCAAGGGTCATGCTGAGGGGAGGGCTTTAGGAATAAAAGTCACCCAAGGGCTCCCAGTGGGAGTTCTGGACAGAAACCGGGCTCCAGGATGGGTATTTCTTCCTCTGTCACCAAAATTGGGAATAAAGCTCCTTCACACGTGGTGTCTCTGCATCAGCAGTGGGTACATGAACAAAAAGAAGTATTTTTGCTTTGGTAAGTAAAGGTCAAAACCAAAAGCCCAGCTCAGCATTGATCCTGCTCCCTGCTTGTCAGGAGCCAAAGGTGTTGCCATGCCAGCCTGGTGTTGATGGTGCAAGACCACGAGATGCTGCAGTTCAACCCAAAATCTCTGCTGGCACCAGCAGCAATCCTAAATAAAGAACAAAAACAGCCCTTGAAGCTGATCTACCCTCTCAATAGTGAATTTATTGCAACCTTTTCTCAGTGCTGAACACCTGAAGGGAAGGTTTGTTTTGTTTTGGGTTTTTTTTTTTGGTACAGTGCTTAAATAAATTACAGCAACGTCTGTCATCATCTGGGGCTGTTTGCGTGACTGTAAGAGTCATTCAAACACGGTTGAAAATGTTGCAGGTTTTATTTGTTTTAGTGTGAATTGCTTCTCCCAAATCTCAGTGTAAATAATCCCAGTTGAGGAAAAAAAAATAAAATAAAAAAAATTAAAAAAATTTGAGTATTAAAAATCAACTTCTCCTTTGTGTCCTTGGAACAACAGCGTGTTTATCCCACCGGGACGCGTGGCTCTGGCTGCGCCGTGTGCCAGCACGATGAGAGGACAACGCCTCGCAGAGAGGTTGTTTCCCAGCAGATATACGATGACTAAAGGCTGGGGCTTGTTCTCTGCACATTTTCCTCGTTTTTCAACAAACACATTTGCACGTCAAGTGACGTACATCACTTGAGTAAACCTCATTTGTTTGGTTTTCTGTTGTGGAAGATGCTCAGTTAATTCCTGGATAAATAAATGAGACTCGAGTCTTGTGGAGTCTGACCTGACACCAGGAGGGGTGTGTGTGTGTGTCTGTGTGTGTACACGTGTGTGTGTGTACACGTGTGTGTGCATGTGTTTGTATACATGTGTGTGCATGCACATGTGTATGAAGCTGAAGAAGATGAAGACAAAAATGAAGATGAAGATGAAGACAAAAATGAAGATGAAGATGAAGGTGAAGGTGAAGATAGGTGAAGATGCAGATGCAGATGAAGATCAAGTTGATGAATATGAAGATGTTGATGAAGATGAACATGATGAAGATGAAGATGAAGATGAAGATGATGAAGATGAAGGTGAAGCTCTCCTGGGGGGTTGATGTGTGCTGTGCTGTAGGACAGGCAGCTGGGGTTGGCTTTTTTTTTAATGGCAATTGTTTTTCTAATCAGCACAACTCGCTCTATCAAAAGTCAGAGATCTAATCAAACATCAGGTGCATTTTTCACAGCTCAGGGTATGTCCTACAGCCAAGCAGAGACAATAAAATTACAGTCAATTGCTTTGGCAAAAACAAAAGCTTTCTTTAAGACATCCAGATTGAGGGAAATGCCGAGAGCGGCAGTGGCTGAGCAGGGATGATGTCGAGCCAGCGGAAAAGGCTGCGCTTCCAGCTCAGGAAGTTTTTTGCCTGTCTGTAAATACAGGCAGCTCAGCTCTGGCCCTGACGAAAAGGTTATTATTATTATTCTTTCCTTATCAAACCCCTCGCATTCCTTCCTTGTCAGTCCCAGCGTCTGCCAGGCAGCCTCTTCCTCTCACCATCCCACGCTGCCTGTGGGCTCTCAGCTGCTTTTGGGCCACTTCTAGGGGCTTTTAGGGAGGTTAAATCCATCTCAGCTCCCACCAGTGACCTGCTTTTCCATAAACATGGTTCAAGGTTGGTGCAAGGGCTCTTGCCTGGTTCATGCTCTGCTGTCCTGCACGTATACAGTGCACATAGTGTCTGCCTAGTTGGTGGGGACACTTATATCAATGTGAAATGTCCTGATGAAAATAATTGGCATGAAAGCATCCTCCGGGGAAGAAGGGTGGCAATTATAAATACAAGGTGTTAAATATAAATATGACACAGTCGTTAAATGGCATGTCCATGTCCCAGCCTGAAACAGAAGCGGGAGCTCTGACACCCATCCAGGTCGCCCTGAATCCTTCTGCAGGTTGAAATCAAAGACTTTTTTCCGAAATGAAGGACCCTTCCTGTCGGAACTGCCATGAAATGTTACTGTGAGATGAAGGTGGCTCACTCTGTGCATTGCTGAAACCAATCAAATTTATCAGAGCAAATGAGTTTTAATTAAGTCTTATTAAAACTGTGTCCTTCAGTGAATCTCTCATGTCTTGCATAATAAAAACAGCACAACCCTCCCAGGTGAGAAAACTCCTGCTCTGTGATCTCACAGGCCCTTCACAGCAAAACAGCAAGTCCCAGCTCAGAGAAAAGAAGCTCCTTTCTCTGTTTGCTGGTTGTTAATTTCTTTTTCATCAATTCAGCACTGGAAAGAGCTGCCCCGATGCCTGAGATCCCTCAGCAGCAGGATCGGTCTTGCACAAGCAGCAAGACACCCGGTTCCTACTCTTACAGAGGTGATTGCCCTGTGCTGTGCCTTGGAGGCTGCCAGGAAAAGATCCTGGTTCTCTCCACACTCCGGATCTGCCGGGACAGATTTACTTGAACATTGTGCTAAAATTCCAGTTTAAGGGTAGATGCTTCGCTCACCTTGTCACACTGTGAAACCTTCACCCCTTGTGAAATTCTGTTCAATGCAGTTGAGCTTCAAGAAATACAGAAATACGACTTCTCTTTCATCCTAACAGGTGAGTATTGACCTCTGCAGCACAGGCTGCAGCCCAGCCGAGAGGGAGCTCCATGCCCCATGTACCCACCACCCCACTGCACAGATTGAAACATTCCCAGGTTTCTGCAGGATTTTGAAGCGGCAGCAGAAACAGTCTGGGGTATATTATATATAACAATGCTGCTATCTGCTGGCTGTGCTTCGCTAAAACATTGAATTCTTTGCTCTACAGGGAAGCTGGTACTTGGTTGGGTCATGGAGCTTAGCTCAATGGAGGTGGTCAATGTGTAGGACTATGGTTTAGTGGGCATGGTGGTGATGAGTTGACAGTTGGACTGGATGATCTTAGAGGTCTTTTCCAACCTTAATTATTCTGTGATTCTGTGGTGCCCAGTAAGAAGCTCTGTTGGAAGATGAGTCCTGCTCCACCACCATCTCCTGCTGCACCCCAGGGTGCTGGCAATACAGCCCAGAGGCCAACATATTAACTTTATCAAATTATGAGAGAAGTAATGCTCACAGTGGGCTTTGAAGCTTATATTGTAGGAACTGGGAACATCTAAAACGAAATTTCTAAAATGAATATTTCCCATCAATCCACTCCCCATCTGCCTGATCCTGCAAAACTCGTGTGGGAGTTCTACAATATTTGCTGCACCATCTGCTGCCAGACCACTCCAGCTTTCGATCCAAGGCAGAAGCACAGACAGGCTTTGAGAACACTTCAGGCAGCTGATGGTGAAGGAGTTGTTGAAGCAGCATCGGTGGAGCCGGGGCACATCCCTGAGAGCAGAGCCTGGGAACCAGCAGTGCCCTCGGCTCCCGTCAGCCAGTCCTACAGAATTCCTGTGTTGAACCAGTTTTGAGTCAGCCAAGAGCTCAGTCACCATCAGATGGCCATAAAGGTATCTCCCAGCCTTGGTGAAGGGTGATCTTCAAGCTCATTTCCTTTTCTCTCATTTTCTTACCACAGGAAAGCAAACAGCATCACGTAATGCCCATGTAGACGACCTGTCCGCAGCGATGGGGTTTTTCCACCTTTATTTTCCAGGTAAAAGGAACAGTGCCTGTGTGGGGCTTTTCCATCCCCCAGGAAAAAAAGAAAAAAGAAAAAAGAAAAAAAAAAAGATATTTAGAACTATTTGCATTACAGGCACTTGCCAGGTGCTTTCACTCTGTCTTTAATCTTAGCCTTCAGATCCATTTAATTTGCTGGTGTTTTGATTTGTAGTAACAGACGTAAATGAGATTATCTGTCCCCTGAGATAAACTGTCAAAGGCAAACACTGAAGAATTGGGCTCTGAAAAAACATTTCAATACGCTCGTGTTGCAAACCCTGAGATGGAGCCATAGATGAAGGTGGATTAGC